CAACTCATGGCAGTGGATTTGGTTTGGTTTTGGTGATCTTCCATAGTACTACTGGGTGTGTTCTGACCGAATAACCTTTAGGTTAGCAATTGAGGGCAAACCATTTTCCCCACACCTCACCAGTTCTTTGAGAGAGACAAGAATCTTTGATAAAAGTAACGTTATCCCCATTGCACTGATGAGAAAGTTGAGTAGAACCAGACTGAGAAAACTTGACAGAAGCAAGGATTACAGTTAAGGGCCAGTGGCCCTTACCTTGTTTTTTCCATGCCAATTTATCTTTTGCTTAGCCAGTAAGATATAAAAAAATGCACACACAGGGAGAGTTGTTTTTGTTAAGTGCCATCGAATCAGTTCCGACCCATAGTGACCCTGTATAGGGTTTCTGAGGAGCAACTGGTGAGCTTGAACCACCGGGCTTACAGTTCAGATGGCTTTGCAGTCTAGGACGCCACAGGGAAAGTAGAGGAATGCTATTCCACATGTGATCAAAATTGAAACCCCATTTCAAATAGGCTATCCCTGCATTTTTCCATGTCAGAATGCTAAATAACACTCCCTGGTGTGGTGCCATAGGATAAGCACTCAACTTCAAGGTTGGTTTAAACTGCAAGGTCAGTGATTCAAACTTACCAGCTGCTCCTCAGAAACCCTATACAGGGTTGCTATGAGTCGGAACCAACTTGTCAGCACTTAACAATAACAACATACTTTCTTTGAATATTAGTTATTGTAGTTGTTAAGTGCTGTTGAGTCAGTTCTGACCCATAGTGACCCTATATAGGGTTTCCAAGGAGCACCTGGTGAGCTTGAACCGCCAACCTTGCGGTTCAAACCAAACTTACAGTCCAGCGCATTAACCCACAGTGCCACACTAGTGTATCTAGTGTATTAGGGATGCTATGAATATTTTTAGAAAGAGCAAGGTTTACAAAGGGCTCTATTAGCTGTATTTACATGGAAGAGAATAGTGTCAATACATTTAATGTAGACAGTTCTTACATTTAACTTTTAGAACCAGAGGCAGACTTAAAAATGCTTTTCTGGCTACCTTTTGGTCTGTTTAACTAACTGCATTGTCAGAAAGATTTCTCACTCAAACTTCTCTTTTATACTCACAGATACAGTTTCAGTTCTAAGAATTACCAACTATTTCATGTTCCATTTCAGTACCTAAAGAGAGACCCCATTTCAGAACAGCCCTTGTCACCCTTTTCTCTTCCCAAGTTTAGCCAGAGACCCTACCATCTGATTTACTTTTCCTCACTTTTTACCCCTGCTTTCTCACTGCACCGCTCCAGAGATCAAAAGAATCAGCACCAAGTGGTCCCTTTCATCTCCTGGTCACCCTTTACTCCAGCCCCAGCTCAGCCACGGAGTAGGTTAGTCAGGCCATGCGTTCTCTCCAACCTGCATTCCTTGGAATAACTGAGTGAGTCCTGGAATCTTTGCACAGGTTGAGTTTTCCGTTGTACTTGCTCTGCCCAGTATTTTCCTGAATCTTAGAATATGAAATAATTAGAGACCACAGGTCTACCTCCATTTTGCATCCTTTAAAATCATAATAGCTCTTTTATTTCATGCCACTTGACTTTGTTTATTCAGTATGATCAGAGCACCATTCAGGCGATAGCAAGTCTGTTAAATATTTACCCATGAGGCGGATCTTTATACATGAATCAGCAGCACTTATCAGTGTGTGATGCCAGATGTTAGGTTCTCTATCCTTATAAGCTGAGAAACTACTGAATTCAATGTTGTTGTTGTTGTTGTTAAGTGCCATTGAGTTGGTTCCGACCCATAGCGACCCTGTACAGGGTTTCCGAAGGTGTAAATCTTTACGGGAGTAGAAAGCCTCATCTTTCTCCCGTGGAGCGGCTGGTAGTTTTGAACTGCTGACCTTAAGGTTCACAGCCCGATTCGTAACCACTACGCTACCAGAGCTCCTTACTGAATTCAATAAAGGGCCAAATAAATTGACCTTCCTAATATTGAAAGTGTTTCACACCTTAAAGCTTATCTGCACGCTAATGAAACCATTCAGAACCTGACATGACAGAGTAGGTGGTCTGTCATCTCCCAGATCAAATGAATCTGAATATTTCATGGTTGTGGTGAGGCATACTGAGGTTTGAACAAAATTAAGAATGCTTATTCTTCTACTGTCCTGGTGAACAGTCCTACTCTACATGTAACACACAGGATCACCAAGAAATCAACACAGTGGTAACTGCGTGGACTCTAGTAAAAGGCTGACCTGAGTTCAGATCACTTCCTACATGTTTGACTCTGAGATCTCTTCTATTCTCTGAGCCTTGATTTCCCCAGTGTGGCGCTGTGGGTTAATGTGCCAGCCTTCAAAGCTGTTTGAACTGCAAGGTTGGTGGTTCAAGTTCACCAGCTGCTCCTCGGAAACCCTATAAAGGATCGCCTCGACGGCACTTAACAACAACAAAATAATAATAATAATATCCATCTCATTGGCTTGCAAGAATTAAATTAGATTTTGTAAGAAAATGCCTAGAAACAAGTGCTAATTATTGGTAATCACAGAAGCAGAATGCAGAAAGATGAGTCAACCCTTTCTCTGGGTCTAGCAGCAAAACAGCTGACCTTTAAATTTCTGATACCTCTATTTCTTTCGATCATTATACATCATTTTTGTTAATGACTGTATTTCTAAATGAAAGAAAATAGAAAGTTTCAAGTTTAGAGGAGTACCCAGACAGTATTTTCATGGTGTGTTCACAGCTTAGTGAATGAGTAAGGACTCACCCTATAATATTTTATACAGGTCAAAGTCCACTATGATCAATTTAAGTTTCTTTTTCTTGGACTAGACTGTGTTAAGAATTTTCTTAATCAGTTCCCCATCCTAATGGAATCATTAGAACGTTCCAGTTACATGTGTGCCCTCTGTACACTCTGTACATACAAACTAGGAGACAGAGAACCCTTCTCTGGTTCACAGGAAGTCAGAGGAATTTTTCCAGCCTTCTCCAGAGTTTAGACTAAATCCAATCCAGTGTCTACTCTTGTTAGGTGTCGTCGAGTTGCTTGAAACTCATAGAGACCCTGTATAGGGTTTCTGAGGAGCGGCTGGTGAGTTTGAACTGCTGATCTTGCAGTCCAGTGCTTATCCTACAGCGCCACACCAGGACTTCAGTATCTATTCTAACAATGGCAAAAGGAAATGATGGTCTTGCTGATTCTGTGCAATTGTTGATTGTAGAAGATGTGTTAATGTCATGCATAACTAAATACCATCTTATAATTTTCTCAATTGTCAAAATTGCTGTATTTTTAGGTGTTAACTGAGTGGAAAAGATCAATAACGAATGTCATCCACATTGACTTCCTCACATCACTTGGGATTTTGTTGGGATTTTTTTCATTCCCACAAAGTCTAATTGGAATAAACATATAATTCACTTTTACCATAAAATTTTTCAGAAAACTGTAGCCACAGAGTGACTGAGTGAGCCTCAAGTGCTTTTAAAAATTATGTATAGTGTTCCCTGTATCACAAACTCTAGACAGAGTTCATCTCTATGGAATTGTTTAGGAGTGACTTTCTGTGTTGCTACTGTGCTATCCTGGCTTCCATTTATGATTTGTAATGGTGGGAGTTTATATTATGAATAATCACATCATTAAGGAATTGTAAGGCTCTTTTTATATCCCAATATATTACAAAGAGGCTTTTAGGGACTCAAGAAATATATACATTAAAATAAAATTTTAAAATTAAAATTAATACAATTAGGACAAAAGGAAAGTGAGATTATGAAAGAAAAGGAAATCAAGACTATTATTATACAAAATGAATGCTTAGTAGGATCTGAACAATGTATTTTAATAATCATCTGTTGACTAATTAAAAAACGAAACCAAATATTTTTGCAAATTTCTGGAAACTATTGCTGAATCAATGATTATTAACTCAGCTTTCTTATTTAGATGAATTAAATGTCAGTATTTACTTAGACTAGAAGTTGCAGGCTTCCTACCCATATTGACCTATAGATTTAAATTAGCTGCCACCGTTTAAAAATTGAGAGGTAAAAATTTTAAATCTGACTTTGTAGCTTCTGTTGCAACATTGGCACCCAGTAAGACTAGACTTGCATTCCTGCATGTCAGAAGTCCCCTGGAGCTGAACATTGGTGATCCCTGCCCGCTGTGCATGAAATTATCAGCTTACTGGAGTCCTCCTCTAGTTCTCTCCTCACATTTATACCACCTGCTGGCTGGGCCTCAGCAGATCCTGGAGTTCCCCCTGCTGTAGACCACTTGCCTCACTTAATAAACGAGGAAGCTACAGCCCCAGGCAGCTACCCAAGGAAACAGAGCTGAGAAACTGCAGAACTAGTCTCTTAATTCCTGGTACACTGTTAACACCATTGCATCTGTTCATTGTAGCTCAGTTCAGGTTTTAATTGAATAACTTATCTTTGTCCTGCACGGAATTGGGCATCATGAAAAATATAAAAGTATATGTTTCAGTATGACCTTTTGATGTTAAGATATTTACACATGTCAATCGAAATTTGCTAATTTATTCTGCTGTGAGATAAGATCATTAGTTGTTATTACTGATGTGTAACATGAACATGCAAGGAGCTCTGGTAGCGTAGTGGTTACAAATCGGGCTGCAAACCTTAAGGTCAGTGGTTCGAAACTACCAGCTGCTCCGCGGGAGAAAGATGAGGCTTTCTACTCCTGTAAAGATTTACACCCTCGGAAACCCTGTACAGGGTCGCTATGGGTCGGAACCGACTCGATGGCGCTTAACAACAACAACAACATGAACATGCAAATTTATGAAAATGACTAAATAAGAGAAATTTCATCACAAAATGAAGCCCAGGCTCCCATTATCATTAGTTCAGGCAGGTGGAGACCAGACTTTGATAAGGGAAGCCACTTCTGCTTTGGGTATTACTTCTTAAGTTGCTTGAGCCCTAAGAGACATGTCCATTGTACTCTTGTCCTTTCAGTGCGTTGGGAGGCTCCTCAGCTCTTCATATCCCAGCTTTCCCAGGAGGAGGATGTCTCATTGATTATGTTCCTCAAGTATGCCACCTGCTCACCAACAAGGTAAACATGAATCCCTTGGCTCCTTCATCTTGAGACTCCTCTTTCTCCTGTTACCAGATACACAGAACTGTCATACACGCAGCATCCATCTCAAACCATCTTCTTCCTTTAATCTCCGCATTCACATCTGCCTTTTCTACTTTGAACTATAATCCATCTATTTCTCTCTATTGTGTGTCCTCCTCCTTTCTTCTGTAAAGATTCGATCACCTTGTACCAGTCTTGTCTTCATTTCTTGACTTGCTATCTGGAGAATTATATGTCCTTTTCCTCGAGTCTGTTTTAAGCCTTAAGTTTGCTTGATCTTGCACCTTCTTATATTTTTGAACCCTTTCATTACCCAAATTGCCTAATATGTTTGTGTTTGCCATTAGATGATATCAGAAGACTTGAGAAACAAACTTTCATCTCTCTCTGTTTCTCTGTGCTCCACTTTTTTTTTGTTTTGTTTTTATTGTGAATTAAGTGATAGTTTATATGGGAGAACATCAGCTTTACATTCATCCTATCACATTTCGTTTCATTGCAATGATTATAATCCCCTCCATGCATCATCATTCAACAGCATTTGCTTCCATTCCCTCTGTTTGTTTGCTTTTTTCCTCTTCTTTTTTTGAATGTACCCTGAAGCCCTCAAGAATATATAACCATTCAAACAACCAAAGGGTATACCCTGCAAGACTGCCCCCTGACTGCCAGCACACATCCTCTCTCCCTCTTTTAATTCAGAGTCCCCATCTCTCCATGTCATCATCTCTGCCTCCATCTTTGACTTTTTAATAGTCAGTTCTTGATTCTCCCTGTTAATCACTGGGAGCAATTTTATACAGTTTTTCTCCTAGGAGTATGATTTCTAAGTCAGCTAGTCTTATATCCAGGCATGTTAGATTGCCTGAAGCTTTATCTTAGCTGCATTTATGAGCCATTACATTGGCAAGGAGCTGAGTTTACTTTAATGACTGTTAGCTATTTCCAAAAAGTGTAAGAATATACATGGTAATGTCCCGGCCAGTGTATTTATCCGAAAACTATAGACATTAATCCACAAGTAACACCGACTCTCTTTCCTTTCCCACATGGATGGTGACTCAGTTTGTTTAATTGCCAAAGTGCTATTTTCTTTGCTCCTACTGACTTGTTCACATTGGCTAGGCAAATAGATCTTTTGTTTGTCTCGTTCATTCAAGAGATAGCTCATCTCTATATAGAAAATATTTTTAAAGTGCAATAATATCTCAAAGGCTTCGTATTATTTTTTAAATGTCAGAGAAACTAAATGCTGGCAACTCTGCAGTCTGTGGGCCTGGCATAGATTCCAGGGCATTGAATTATTATGGAGTAACTGCTTCTCATTGGACCACATCCCCCCAGCCTCTATCCTCCTACTAAACTGATCTGAGGAGAAAGAATTCTTATTTACATTCTGGGGCTTTGCACTGCCTTCAAATCTGCGTCCCAGTGTTATAGAGAAAAATGCAAATGTGGTTTTCCAGCACTAAGAAGAAAAGCCTGTTTAAAGCTCTCCAATTGAGATTAATTTCTAGTCATACATTTTCCTCAAAAAATAATACCGTTTTCCCAGAAATACAAGAATCAGTCCATTTTTCTTATCTTGTTCTCCTTCATTAATTTCACTTGTCTTTTACAATTGGTTTTTTTCTTGTGTTTGCTACAGACAAGGACAGTATGGGCTGCTTTTAGAAACAATCTCTTCAAATGAATTTCCATAATTACATTGGAATCTATCTTTATAGCCAGTTTTGTTGTGGGTTTTTGTTAAAATGGTTGTCTGTTTTGAAAATCAAGTATACAGAACTGTTTTCATCCCCCTTTTAAAACAAAGCCACTTAAGCAAACTTATCATCTGTTTTTCTTCTCCCAAAATAGCATTTCTGAACTTGCATTAAGGCTGCAAAGTAAGCACTGTTTTTATAAATTGACAGAAACCTCTATTATAAGAATAGATTTGTTTTGCTTTTAAAGGGTACAAATAGCTATCGGTACCAATTGTGTCGAGATTATTGCAGGCATTTTACCTCATACTTTTGTTAGCCGTGGCAACTCAGTGGGACTACAGCCCTTACAAATCAGTTTTGGGGAGGGGGGAGTTCTTTTTCTCATTGTTTCTTTCAAGCATTATGAGGACATTGTAAGGAATATGTTTTCTTGTTTGAAGGTGATGGATAAATGATTAACTTTCAGATGCCTAGTTTAATGTGTTCACAGATTCTTTTTTTTTTAAGAGAAACTGTCATTTAGTGATAAGGTAAATTTAAAAGGCAGAACAAAACCCCCTATTATACCATTCCTTATTTTGAATATCAAGAATTTAGAAAGAAAGAATTAAGCATTAGCCTGCCTTTTCAGTAGGATTGTAGTTCAAGCTACTGAAATGGCCCTACTTGATGAGAGAAAGCTCCTGTTCACTGAGAAGGCTGATAAATGCAGAGGACAGACAGAACTCAAAAAATCACCATTCTGCATTCCTTAATGAAATAACTAAGTCAGACAAGAGTCTCCCAACAAAGAAACAAACTTATTAGGTAAAAGGTTGATGTTCACACGCTTCAAGTGATACGCCCATAGATTACTCACTTTGGCAAAGGGGACAGAAATATCTTTTTACAGTGGAAAGGTCTGGCTGTCACAACCTTAGACAAGCAATCCAACTCATTACCTTCTGTGAAAGCTTCTAGCCAAAATCTTCAGCCAGAATCGAATCATACCTTTAGCTCTAACTTCCAGTTTATGAGGAGTCAAGAGAATCTAGAATACAGTACATTTTACAAGACAATTGAAAAGCCATTGTATGTGTTTGCATTCATGCTTGTGCACACACGTATGCACCCTCATGGAGGTCATGTTGTTGTTGTTAGGTGTCATCGAGTCGGCACCGACTCATAGCGACCTTATGCACAGGTAATGTTAGTTAGATTAAAAAGACTTGAAAGATATACGGAGCAAATGAAATACCAGGTTCTTGGTTTTACCCTGCTTCTTTGGAGACCATTGGGAAAACTTGAACATGGACAGGTACTAAATAAATTCAGAGTCTTGGTGTGGTGCCCTGGAGTGATGCTGTAGGGTCAACACTGGACTGGTAACAACAAGGTTGGTGGTTCCAATCCCCCAGCCACTCCTTGGAAACCCTATATAGGGTCACTGTGAGTCAGAACCAACTGGAGAGTACTTAACAACAACAATAAATAAATAAGTTCAGAGAATGATTGTTCAATCTGTTGAGTATGATCATTGTATTGTACTTATGTAGGCGAATGCCCTTGTTTTTTGGAGATGCATGCTTAAGTATTTAGGGGAAAACTGTCACGATGTCTCTAATTAACTTTGAAATGTTTCAGCAAGATTGACTGATAGGTTAATAGATTGGTAGGTTGGTAGAATGACTGCCTGAAACAACTAGGCAAATATTCACAGTTGCTGAATATAGGGGATGAAAATATGAATGTTCATTTTACTATTCTACTTCTTTTTAATTTTTCATAATAAAGTATTTTAAAATCATTAAAAAATCTACTATTCCACTTCTCGATGTTGGGTTCCTATTTCAGGTGCAGTATGTGATTCAAGGATATCACAAAAGGAGAGAGTATATCGCCGCTTTCCTCAGCCACTTTGGCACGTAAGTTCTCCTAGATAAACTCTATTGTTGATGTCCTCACTAAACTCTATTGTTGATGTTCTCACTTTCTCGTGACCTAATACAGAGGTTTGGTTAAGAAAATAGCACTTAGTTCCTACCTGTACAATACCATATTTGTTGTCTTTGGTATGGTGGTATGTTACTTATACCAAAGCTCCCTGGAAGACATAAATTTAAAAAAAAATTCATTTAGCACATAATAGAATCAAATATCTTCCCTGACACAACAACACAACAATAATAATGCTTCTTGTTGGCATAGCACTCTCCCCTCGATCAGCTCACAGGTAGGTGCGATTGGCACATGTCACTGAAAACAGTCCTGAAGCTCTGAAAGATTTAGTAACTAGATGGAAGTCGCACTCCTAGAAGAGGTGGAGTCTGGGCAGCACCCCTATTTCTCCAGGATTCTAGTCTCCTGACAGGAGTGCCCCACAGATTTGGGGAGGAAACGCAACACTAAATAAGGAAGCTGTGACTCACACTTGAGAGTAGGCGTTGGAAGAAAGCATGGCCAAGGAAAAAGGAAGTGTGGAACTACAGTTACAGAGTGGGCATTTCCCCCAGGACTGCCCCTCTGTGTTTGCGTATCAGTGGCTGTGCTCCTGGGCAGCTCTGTTTCCTTAAGTGACATCAGAGACCTGATCAAGCTGACTGATACTGAGCTATTTAGGCTTAGCTCAGTGGGAGAGGGGATGCATTTTTCCTCAGTCTTCTTGAATGGTGGAGCATTCTACCCATATGGGGACAAAGTTACGATATTTAGTAATAGTTAGAGTGGGGGTTTTAGTGACCTGTTTGTACCCCATCTGATTCCAAAGAAGGTTTATGAGTATATATATGTAAAGTAACACATAAAAATTTTAAATAAGTAAAAGGAGAAATTGGGATAAAAGGAAAGCAGGAATAATATAAAATGAAGTCAAGAACAAGATTCGCCATTCTTTGAAAATTAATTTCACAAATTGTAGTATAAATATAAGCAAAGTTTATGACTTCTCAAAACAGTTGCAAAACATTTTCTTACCATGCAAAGTAGAAATTTTCATTCCTCCAGAGTAGTAGTATCAATAAATAGTAAGATTGTCCCTCACATACATCATTACTAGTGATGATTTCTTTATTTTATGTTTGAACATTTTGATAAAGTTCTTTGAATAAGAACCAAACAAAAGAAAACAAAGCCCACTACTATCGAGTTGACTGTGACTCCTAGTGACCTTCCATAGGGTTTCTGAGGCTTGGCATCTTTACTAGAGCAGAAAGCCTCATCTTTCTCCCACAGAGTGGCTGGTGGGTTTGAACTGATGACCTTGCAGTTAGCATGCCAATGCTTATCCAGTGGTCTTCTAATTTTTGAGTAAGATAATCTTCAGAATATGTAGTTCTGAAGTTAGAATTTCAGTTAGAAAATGAAGAAGCTAGCACAGTGACCTCAAAATAGGGTATACACAGTCCAAGGCTTACATAATTCACTCCACTGGTGTAAAAAAAAAAAAAAATATATATATATATATATGAAATTTGCATATACATTTATGTTTAAATCATATTCTTTTTCAATGTACATTTTTGTGCATGTTTATAAATATGCTTGTAGTGCAGTCCTGGTATGGTGCTATAGGATAAGCAATGGACTGCTAACCACAATGGACTGCTAACCACCAACTGCTCCTCAGAAACTCTATACAGGATCAGTATTAGTCAGAATTGACACTTCAGCACTTAACAACAACACAGTAACATAGTACAGTCATACAGTTGTTACTATTAGTTGTCAAGTTCTTGACGTCCCCATGTGTAGAGTAGAACTGCTCCATAGTGTTTTAAAGATTGTGACATTTCCGATCATTCCTATTCCCTCTGTACACAGGGTTGATAGGGATGGGCAACTTAGACATTGGCTACCTAGTGGGGGACAATAAAGGCACAAAGTGACTGGCTTATGAGTTTCTAAGAGGGAGTTTAGTTTCAGAGTGTGGGGAGGGGGGAAGTAGAATCCCCACTGAATAGTTTTCATCTTGTCTAGATGGGTCTGGTGAAAAGAGATGGGGATAAGATTCTTATGACTCAATAGTGAGTAAGTGTTATCATGACTAATTGCAATTGTCATAACTGTAAAGGTAGAAAAGTTTTTTAACAAAAGTGGGGGAATAGTTAATTTTACATTCCAGGAACAGAGGACCCTAGGACCATCAAGGGAAAAGAGCATGAGTGGAATGTGGGACCCTATCCAGAGAAGCAGCAACACCAGAAATGGAGGCAGAGATGGGGACATGGAGAGAGGGAGCAGCTGAGGACTCTAGACTCATGGAAAGAGAAAGACTGTGTGCTGGCAACCAGGATGAAGGCTTGCCGAATGTGCCCTTGGGTTGTTTAAATTATTGTATATTCTTGAGTGTTTTTGTATACACACACCCCCCAAAAAAATCCAGAGGGAATAGAAGCAAATACTGTTGAATGATGATGCATGGAGGAGATTGTAATCTTTGCAGTGAAATGAAATACAGTAGGATGAGTGTAAAACCCATGTTCTCCCATATAAACTATCACTCAATTTACAATTAAATAAAAAACACAAACACCTATAAAATGAAAATACACACACACAAAGATTGTGACCTTTCCAATACAGATCACCAGGTCTGTTTTCTGCGGCACTTCTGGGTAGGTTCAAGCTGCCAGCCTTTAGATTAGTAGCTAAGTGCCTAACTGTGCAAACAACTGCATAGAAAAATAATTTTATATAACTGCATTAGTTCAATCCCACCAGCTGCTCCTCGGAAACCCTGTACAGAGTCCCTATGAGTCAGAACTGACTCGATGCTACTTAACTTACTTAACTAAATAATATACTTTGCTACTCTCTGACTATGTCATATGCATAATAAAAAGGAATATGTGCTTATTTTGTGGATGGGATGCAGGCTCTAAAAAGTTTAGATATCAGTGTTATAACATATTGGGTTGATTATAAATTCACAGTAATATAAACTGGTGAATAAAATAATTGACTTAAGTCAGAAGATCTCAATTGCATACCCGTTATCTTTGAGCAAATCACTTAGTCTTCATTGTCTTTTTCTGATAGCATAGTGGTTACAAATTGGGCTGCTAACCTCAAGGGTGGCAGTTCAAAACTACCAGCCATTCCACAGGAGAAAGATAAGGCTTTCTGCTCCTGTAAAGATTTATAGCCTCAGAAACCCTGTGGAGGTCTCTATGAGTCGGAACCGACTCCACAGTACTCAATAACAACAACATACAATGAGTACAACTGAACTTTTCTGTTTAAACTGTGAGGTAATCAATATCAAAGGTCTGATTGACCTGCCTTGCCTAGGAATAAGACAATTCTAAGGACATCAAAGGCCTCTTTACGTAGAAAACCCAAACCAAACACAATGCCACTAAATTGATTTTAGCTCACAATGACCTTATACTACAGACTAGAACTGTCCCCGTAGTGTTTCCAAGTCTACAGATCTTGACAGAAGCAGACTGCCACAACTTTCCCCATGGAGCAGCTGGTAGGTTCAAGCCACTGACCTTTTGCATAGCAGCCAAGCACTTAGCCACCGTGCCATCAAGGCTTGTGCTTTGTATAGACTGGTTATTGTTGTTAAGTGCCGTCAAGTCGGTTCTGACTCATAGCGACCCTGTATAGAGTTTCCAAGGAGTAGCTGGTGAGTTTGAACTGCCAACCTTGTGGTTCAAACTGATTTTGCAGTGCCCCACATGAACCCACAGTGCCACACCAAGACTCCTTGTATAGACTAGAAAGACAGTTATTCCATCATCTGCATGATTATTACGTTATGGTGACATCCCCCTGAGGGAAGTGGTCGGGGTGAGCCTACCAGAATTCTGTCATGCCCCATGTGAAAACTGGCACCAGCCATCCCGCCCACAGCACTCTCAGCTTCACCTCTGGGTTCAGTAAATCATTTCAGCTCCATACTCACAGTTAGGAGGTGTATGAGGGAAACTAACAAGTTATAATTCAGGGTCAGAAATGCTCAGGGCACAGTTCTAACAAGAGACCCTCTTGTCTGCCCTACCCACAGGTCTCTCTCGGGCTCTTGGCCTGGCTTCTACCCTGCTCCAGCAACGGTACTAAAAGCTCTTTTAGGGCGCTGTTTGGTGCTCACAAGGCACATCACTCCATCATAAGCCTCAGCTGCAAGGAAGGCACTCAATTCTAGCTCCATGAGTCAGCAAACCTAGCTCCACCCCAGTTAAGTGCCCGGAGGCACCCCACTCTACAACATAACCAAACTCACTCAGCTTTAGGTGCCCTGTGTCTGAGAAGCCCACTGTTCTCTCTAGGGCTCTAGCACCACTTGCTTCTGCTGCCGCCACTCCCGTACTGCTACTCTGGTGTCACAGCTTTCTGTCCCTGTGTCATTGCACAGGGATCTCAGGGTCCAGAGCATGAGCGCCATTCCTAGCTCTTTCTTGGTGGTAGTGAATTCCTACCTCTGCTTCTGAAATGGCTCATTTTATACCCAGCAGGATGGCAAAATTGACCAATCACAGTTAGCTCTGCCAACAGTAACTCACACCGGAATCATCAACATCTTCCCTCACCTTCTCTTACCTAGACCCCTCAGGAAAAAGTTTGACAGGAACTACTAAGATATGACTAGAAGAGATAGGAAATAATTCCCTGCAGACACCAGGTGTTCTCCCTTGACACATGATATATGCATCTCCCTCTGCACCAGTGTTCACTCAGCAGACATAGCTACTTTGTCTTGAACCCAGTGGGGAGAACAGGAGGAACAGAAGTGAAAGCATCCAAGTACTGTTGAAGAAAAGTAAGAGGGAGAGCTTCCAAAAGTTCATGGAAAAATTCCATTATCTTTCAATTCAATTTTTCCACAAACTTTTGAAGCTAACCTTGTATATAATCCTAAACTTAGTTATATTGTTGCTCGTTAATTTTTAGTGCCCAGTGAAACTAGACTTAATTATCACTATACAAGCCCATGGTGACATTTGGCATTATAGTTATCATTGCTGACCCGACTTAATTTTTCCTTTCACTATTAGCTAATAACTAACATCTGTGTAGCATTTTATGCTTTATCTTGTTTTTCACAACCAGACAATGATGGGATTCATAGTATTAGTCTACTTGTTTTACAGATGAGGAAACTGAGGCTCTGAAGATTAAGTTGATTTGCCTGAGATTATAATAAATAATAAATGCCAGAGCTGTTGCTATTGTTACTAAGTGTCCTGGAGTCTGTTCAGACTCATAGCTACCCTGTATAGGGTTTCCAAGGTGCACCTGGTGGGTTTGAACTGCCAACCTTGTGGTTCAAGCCAACCCTGCTGTTCAGTACTGATCGTACAGCGCCACACCAGGACTCCGATTTGAAACCACGTGGTATCATTCCAAATCTCCTGCCCTTCCTAATCTAGTGTGCTCACTTACCTTTTCATTTTAAATTAAATAACTGACTTTAGTAATATATTTTTCAATTGGCCCCAACTCTTTTATATATTTTGTGTGTGTGTGTGTGTTCATTACTTAGAGGTGTCGTGGAATATGATGCAGAAGGCTTTACAAAACTCACTCTGCTGCTGATGTGGAAAGATTTTTGCTTCCTTGTACACAGTGAGTATACTTTTGTTATCAGCATATATTTTTAAACATTCTAAACCACGTATAATGAGTATGAGAACCATTAATGTCTTGAGTTAGTTTCTTTTAGTTCAGTATATTTTTTTGGTGCGGTCTTAAAAAGAAAATATCTCTAGACCAGTAGTTCTCAACTGGAAATGATTTTGCCCCTTCAGGGGACACTTGGCAATGTGTCTGGAGACTTTTTTGATTGTCACAACTGGGGGAGAAGGTGCCACTGGCATCTAGTAGGTGTCATTGTTGTTATGTGCCATCGAGTCGGTTCCAATTCAGTAACCCAATACAGGGTTTCCAAGGAGCGACTGGTGAGTTTGAACCACTGACCTTGTGGTTCAAACTGACCTTGCCATCCAGTGCTCATCCTATAGTACCAAAGTGCTACTCCTTCAATGTGTGGGACAGGCCTCTATGACAAAGAATTACCTGATCCAAACAAAGAGCAACTTGATCCAAAATCAGCAGTAGTGCCAAAGTTAAGAAATCCTACTCTGGACAGATTTCTTTTCCAAGGCATCTTTCCAGAATCAGATTTCAAAACTTTTAGGATTACTCAAAACATACTTGCTTCAACTATTTGGTTAACATCCTTATTAAAGGAGAAATCTGCAACTTTGATAATATGTAATATATAATTTAAAGGTGAGACAATGTTTAAATGTGTCCCCCACATCACTTATCATTGCTTTTCTACACTGGATTTAAATATTTGTTGTGATATCAATCAATCAATCAACCAACATTGGTCCAATGTTCTCTTAATTGATAATTTATGAGCTCTTTTGTTTATTTCCTTGTTATATAAGAGGCTGACTTCATTTAGTATATAGAACTGTTCGGTACCTTAATAAACTGGTTCCAAAAGAGAAGCTCTGGCCTTATTTAGTCAAGGCATCGAGCCTCAAAAAATACTAATTTTGGGTGACTTTTCTTCTCCAGCAGATTTACCTTCTTGAATTTGATTTCCTTAGACTAAAATAATATTTTAATTAGTTTGTTTTACTTTATTTCATACCAACAAATAATGAGGAAATAAATTTTCTTTAAATATACATAGTGGTAGAGGGAAGAAATCCTCTAATTAAAACCTTACTATGGTATAATTTCCTCATATGGATGCGAAAGCTGGACAGTGAATAAGGAGGATCGTAGAAGAATTGATGCCTTTGAGTTGTGGTGTTGGAGGAGAATACTGAGGGTGCCATGGGCTGCCAAAAGAACCAATAGATCTGTTTTGGAAGAAGTGCAGCCAGAGTGCTCCTTGGAGGCCAGGATGGCTAAGCTTCGTCTCTCCTACTTTGGACATGTAGTCCGGAGGAAACAATCGTTGGAGAAGGATGTCATGCTGGGTAGGGTGGAGGGTCAGAGAAAAAGAGGAAGACCTCCAATGAGATGGATCGGCCAGGTGGCATCATTGATGGACTCGGGGGTGGCAGTGGTGGTGAGGTTGGCCCAGGATCGAGCATTGTTTCGTTCTGCTGTGCATGGGGTCGCTATGAGTCGGTTCCGACTCGATGGCACCTGACAACAACAACAACAATGGTATAATTCACATAGTTGGCTGTATTATTAAGGAATTGGGCCTCTGTGCTCTTTAAGTGTACCCAGCTATTACTATTTTGTAAAGCAGGACCTTATATTGAGCTCCTGTGTGGTGGTGGTTGTTGTTAAGTGCTGTTGAGTTGGTTCCGACTCATAGCGACCCTGTATAAGGATTTTGAGGAGAGGCTGGTTGGTTTGAACTACCGATTTTGTGGTTCACAGTATAGTGCTGATCCTACAGCACCAGACCAGGAGTCCTATTTGTTTGCTATTCATAAATAGGGCCATCTTTTCAAATGCATCTGAAAAATGCAAACATAACACTTTATATTAATGATGTAAATGGATAAACAGAGTTGGAGAGGTAAAGATTTTAATCCTGGGTGTGTCTCTGACTAATTATGTGACCTTGTTCAGATGACTAGGACAAACCTACCTCTGCTTTAGTTTCCTCATATGTATATTGGGGATGTGGTCATCAGGTTTTTTGGAGACTCAGGTCTGCAAGATGCAGTCAGATGAAGAGGAAGCCTCACAATTAAGACCTCTTGGCCATCTCCTCTTTGCTAACAATCTTCTATGGCCCTGCTGATCTGATGTGTGAATGCTTATGATACTGCATCAGTTTGTTGAAAGATTTCGATTTGTATTCTGTCAATTCCTGGAGCCCTGTTTTTCACCAGTGCCTTCAGTGCAGCTTGGACTACTTCTTTTAATACCATCAGTTCATGATCACATGCTACCTCTTGAAATGGTGGATATCAAGCAATTCTTTCAGATACAGTAACTGCATATTCTTTTCATCTACTTTTGATGTTTCCTGCATCATTTAATATTTTACCCATGATGTAGTTTTGTTGTTGTTGTGTGTCGTTGAGTCAGTTCCAACTCATATTGACTCTGTATAGGGTTCCTGAGGCTATAAATCTTCATGGGAGCAGAAAGCCTCGTCTTCCTGTAGTGGAGTAGTTGCTGGGTTTTAAATGCCAATCTTTTCGTAAATAGTCCAGTTCTTTTCCTAAAGAGCCATATAAAGTTTTAACTTCATTTAAATGAAGCTAAGATATTAAAGTAGTCCTGGTGTGGCACTGTGAGATAATGCACTGGACTGCAAGGTCGGTTTGAATCACAAGATTGAGAGTTCAGACTCACCAGCCGCTCCTCAGAAATCCTATACAGGGTCACTATGAGTCAGAGCTTACTCGATGGCACTTAAGATAATAAAACAAGATTGCCAAGTCAAAATTCTATTTATAACGTCTTCCTTAAGTTTCTAAAATAAAGTAGAAAAAGTGAGTTGAGTCTCACAAATTGGTTGATTATGGTCCTGTCACTTGGAGGCACTGGTGGTTCTAGACAAGACATCAGAGCTTTCACTTGAAAAATGAATCTTCTATTTGCAAAAGCCCAGAACCACTTCTAATTCCTCTTTTGAGGTGTTGCTCAGAGCCAGGTAGCACATAGCTTGGCCATTCACACCTTCTGTATGTGACTGTGTTGGGAGAACCAGGGGACACGCTTTTGTAATTTTGTGTGAATCACAACTAAAAACTGTCAACATATGTGTTTTCCAAAGGACAGGGAAATCAAAATAAAGTCTGTAAATTGGTTTCTGCTTCTAATGACTTTCCGTTCCACATTTGGTCCCAGTTTGTACGCAGGGGCACATGAATGATGGAAAGCCCTGTGGCTGACAGCTGTAGTGGCCCCTGTTCGTCACCTTATCCTGTATCCCACACTGTGTCATCTGAGTTGGGACTCTGTCCCTTTGTCACATGGAATGGAGTATATTTCTCCAGTTCACATGACCTATTTTGGCCAAGAGAATAAGGGAGAGAGGGGTACTAATACTGAGCCAGGCCTCAAGAGGCTTTTGTATCTCTGCTTGGGCTTCTGCCCTTGGCCTAAGGAGAAATGAGTGGGCCAGCCCACTGTTCCCTAGAGGATGAGAAACAAGAGGGAGCCAAGTGTCCCTGGCTCAGACCAGACAAGCCAAGATTAGCAGAGTTACAGCTGAATCCAACTTAGATTATAACTTCAAAGAAGCCTAAGAAATATATGTTTATTATTGTAAGCCATTGCATTTTGAAATGGTTGGTTTCATAGCAATAGCTAACTCGTACACCATTTAAAAATCAAAGTAGCTGCTCTTACCACTGTTATCAAGTCAACTATGACTCATAGCGACTCTATAGGACAGAGTAGAAGTGTCCTATAGGGTTACATGATTTACAGCCTCTCACACTTCAGGAAGCTTGAAGTTGAAATGAGGAGTGATGGCTCCAGGAGAAGGCTTTCTGTCTTTGTTAACTCTAGGGAGACAAGGGAAAATTCCTTGTGTCCTTTCAGTATTTGTAGGCCAAGCATTCCTTGAAGATCTCTATGGGCCTTGATATCATTTTGCTCATAGAATACTTCATTACTGCAGATTGAGGCTTGTACTTTTTCTTCAGTTCTTTCAGTTTAAGAAATGCTAAGCATGTTCACCCTTTTTGGTTTTCTAACTCCTGGTCTTTGCACATTTAATTATAATGTTTATTTTGTCTTCTTTTGAATTTTCTGTTCAGTTTTTTTACTTCCTCATTTCTTCTAGTTGCCTTAACTTCTCTACTCTCAAGAACAAGATTCAGAGTCCCTTCTGACACCCATTTTGGTCTTTTATTTCATTTCTGTCCTTTTAATGACCTTTCACATTCATGTATGCTGTTCTTGATGTTATCCCACAGATTTTCTGGTTTTCAGTCAGTAGTGACTAATGTATCAAATTTATTTTTCAGATCATCTCTAAATTTAGAATGGATATAGTCTAGGTCAATTTTGGTTCTGATGTATTGATCATTATTGGTGATTGGAATGCAAAGGTTGAGAGCAAAGAGGAAGGATCAGTAGTTGGAAAATATAGCCTTGGTGATAGAAATCATGCTGGAGAATGCATGATAGAATTCTGCAAAACCAATGATTTGTTCATTTCAAATACCTTCTTTAGACAGCATGAGAGACGACTATACACATGGACCTCACCAGATGGAATACATAGAAATCAAATTGACTACATCTGCGGAAAGAAACTATGGAAAAGCTCCATATCACCAGTGAAAACAAGGCCAGGGGAAGACTATGGAACAGACCATCAGTTACTCATATACAAATTCAAACTGAAGCTGAAGAAGATGAAAACAAGTCCACGAGAGCCAAAATATGACCTTGAATATATCACACCTGAATTTAGAGATCA